TGCCCCAACAATTGATAGAAAAACAATACTTTTTCTATTTTTGGTAGAGACAGGGTCTCACTCTTGCTCAGGCTGGTCTTGAACCTCCTAAGCTCAAGAAATCTACTGGCTTCAGCCTTCCAGAGTGCTTGGATTACAGGTGTGAGCCACCACACCTGCCTATTATCTACTTTTTTTTTTTTTTTTTTTGTGACAGAGCCTCAAGCTGTCCCCCCTGGGTAGAGTGCTATGGCATTACAGCTCACAGCAACCTCCAACTCCTGGGCTCAAGCGAGTCTCCTGCCTCTGCCTCCCAATTAGCTGGGACCACAGGCGCCCGCCACAACGCCCGGCTATTTTTTGGTTGCAGCCGTCATTGTTGCTTGGCGGGTCCGGGGGCTGGATTCGAACCCGCCACCTTAGGTGTACGCGGCTGGCGCCTTAGCCGGTTGAGCTATAGGCACCAAGCCCTATTATCTACTTTTAAGTTCCAATGTACATACCCTTTTGTGTTCTGTTATTTATTTATTTATTTAGTTTCGAGACAGTGTGTTGCTCTGTTGCCCTGGGTAGAGTGCCATGATGTCAGAGCTCACAGGAATTTCAAACTCTTGGGCCTCTTCCTCAGCCTCCCAAGTAGCTGGGACTACAGGCTTGCACCACCAACCTGATGAATTTTTTCTATTTTTAATAGAGACAGGATCTTGCTCTTGCTCAAGCTGGTCTGGAACTCTTGAGCCAATCCTTCTGCCTTGGCTTCCCAGAATGCAAGGATACAAGTGTGAGCCACTGTGTCCAGCCTGTGTTCTATTTTTAAACTTAGCATTGTATAATGTTTTGTTTTGTTTTCCCCCAGAGAAACAAAGATTTTGTCTAGGAAGAACAAAGAGAAAGTTTAGAACACTTCCAAAAAGAGTTGGAAGTGAATCCCTCTCATGATAGAGAGAAGGTAAGAGAGACCTACGCAATGTTTTGGGTTTTTTTTTTCAGTTTTTGGCCGGGGCTGGGTTTGAACCCGCCACCTCCGGCATATGGGGCTGGTGCCCCACTCCTTTGAGCCACAGGTGCCGCCCGCAATGTTTTTAATGATACTATTTTATTTATGAGATTTTTTAAAAAATACTTTTATCTGACTGTAAAAGTAAAGCACATTTAGTATTTTTTCTAATGTAAAGATTCAAAGAAAGTGAATAATCGCCCTTGATATTTCAAAGTATATCCTTCAAGACTTTTTGCTAGGCATACACAAATACATACTTACAAAGTGGGATCATACCATACATGCTAGTTTAGTTACCATTTTCCATGTCTGTGTAAACTAAAAATAAAATCCTAAGCTCCTTCCAACTAAACAGACCCCCACTCTTTGCCAAGGAGGCCTCAGAAAAACCTTAAAACTAAGTTCCTAGCCAGGAAGCAAAGGGAGACGGGACTTGCCTCCTTATAGCTGCTCCCTTCTGGGGTTTAGACTAATTGCATATTGGACCTAAGGTCATGAAAGGCAACGGTTAAGTCAGCTTGCAGAACATCAATTTGCTTAACTTTCTTTGCTCTGATTAACAGATCCTCTTATCTTAACTCAAACACTTGTTTTCTGCTGACTCCAAGACAAGCTTTATTTCTTTAACCAATTACAAATCAAAGAATCTCTGAACCCACCTATAACCTATAAGCCCCTGCTTTGAGATGTCCTGCTTTTGAGGCCAAACAAACGTATGTATACCTTCCAAGAACAGATTGATGATTTTACCTGCAATTCTTGTCTCCCTAAAATGTGTGAAACTTACTTGTAACATGACCACTTCGGGAACAATTACTCAAGTCTTCTTGATTTGTGGGTCCTTGGACCAAGGTCATTTATAAACTCTTTAACTTCAGAATAAAACTCTTCAAGTTATTTTACAGAGTTTGGGGGTTTTATCCACTAACATCAATACATATAGACAAAGAATAGCATATTTAATGCTTTTTATGAGTATACCATAGTTTATCCTATTGATGACATTTCAGTTATTTCCAAACTGTCATTATTGTAACAGTTTTAAATATCTTTTCTCCTTAGGACTAATTTCTAAACATAGAATTGGTGGTTCAAAGGAAATGCACATTTAACATTTTGAAATTCATTGCTTACCAATTATCACTCCCAACAGATGATGGGTATACAAGGGCTCCTTTTGTAACCAGCTCCATAAACAAGAGAACATTTTTTAAATGATTTCTGTTTCAAGTTTCCAGGCCAGTAAGAATTGCCGACCAGAACTTTGTAACTGTCACACAGAAGCATTCCCTTTTTGAGTTTCTTTCCCTTGAACGGCTGCCATGAGATAACTACAAAGCCTTATACCACTTGTTTGTCCAGAAAAGACAAGGTAAGTCATACACCACTGCAGACTGTACTCAAGGATCCGCTGAGCCTGCAAATGAGGCTGAAAGAATGACCAATATGAACCTCTAGCTCATTATAATACTAACATGCCCACCCTGGAAGGGACTTACCCACTATTTTTGTTCCTGGGATGCAGGTACTAGCATGATTTCTCACTGTGCTTGTATGCCCTGCACTCCACCCCAAACGTGGTAATGATGCCCACTCCCCTCCCACATTCTTCATTTTTAACTCCTTAAAACCCCACTGACCCTGTTGGTGTGAAAGGTGGGTTTGAGGTAGTCTGTGCCTCCTCCTCCCAGCAGATGCATCTTCTGAAATAAATCCTTTCTTCCTGACAAGCACCATTGTCTCAGTAA